TTGTTATTGTTGTGGAATAAAGTGATTATTATTATTATTATTCATAGTAAGTTTTATCAAGTGCCAATCTAAATCTTTGTTTAGTGATCAGACATCGGTGACCACCCATAAAAGGTAAATATATATATAGGTTTCAGTAACTTGAAACTTCCCATTCAGTCATAGAAAAGAAAAGGTGTTCAGCAAAGAGATACTCGTTTCGGCGATATCATTCTCAAGCTGCACAAATCGCAAATTTATAGTAATTTCTCTTGGCAACAAAAGGAATATTTCCAAAGATGTGTTAATGCAATTGTCAATTTTTGACAAACAAATTACGTAATTTAGAAGGCGTTAATCGGTTAGAAACTAAAATAAAGTTACAAAAGTAGGTTGGGTGACGTAATCTAAAAAATGAATGAGAGTCAAGTTAATAAGCTGAGTAGAATTCACTTAAAAATAAACGAAAAACGAGTTAGCAACAGTCGTCATGAGCGTAGAGACTTAATAGAGGGTGGGGGTAGAAAATAATGCAATTAAGAAATAGACAAACAAAGAAGAAAGAGGTAAGACAAAATTACGTATTTGGTGTTAAGATAGATCAGGACCATTGTAGATTTAGTGACTGAACAAACTTCTTTTGTATGCAGAGTTCAGGATTCAATATGTGAATTGCCATTGCTTCTGCAGTTTGAAGAAGTTTAATTCGTACTCTTTTGGCAAGATTCCCACGTATTGTGTAGATAATTGAGAAGTTGTTTTGTGGGTTTGCTTGGTGTCCGGATTCGATCAAGTGTTCTAGGATAGAGCTGTGGCGGGGGGATCTTCTTTCTCCTTTATAAAACCATGAAGGTAAGTGTTCGCTGATTCGTTTGGATAGCAAACGCTGGGTACGGCCGACATATCTAGCTCCACATGAGCAGGTGAATTGGTAGATGCACATTGATGAGGCCCCCAGTGGAAGCTTATCCTTCACGTTCGTGCGAATCATTGGTTTCGTAGAGAAAGTTAGTCTGAGTTCCTCTGCGAAGAAGATTTTCTTCAGTGAACGGCACAGGCGGTTTCTCAGTATTTCTGCTGAAGAATCTCCGTTGAATTGTAGATTCAAATAGAGAAGTTTCTTGGGATCAGTAAGCGTGGATGGTTTTTGTGTTTTGGGCTTCATAGCTTTTGTGATGAAACGTTCCGGGTAACCGTTTTCAAGGAGGATTCTTTTCAGGGTCTTCAGCTCTTCTTCTATAGTTTCCGGACTGCAAATGTTGTGGATTCTGTGAGTCAGTGAGCGGATCAGATTTCGTTTTGTATATATAGGCACCCAACTGTGAAAGCTGATGAGTTGTCCATTCCATGTCGGTTTTCTGTGAATGGATCTTTCGAGTGTCCCATCTTGTTCGCGTCTTGCTAGTTGCACATCCAGAAAAGATATTGTTGCGTTGGACTCCTTCTCTAGTGTGAACTGGATTGCTGGATGGCAACTGTTGAAGAAGTCCAATATGTTCTCCAAATTTTCCTCATTATTGGTGATAATAAAAGTATCGTCCACGTATCTCTTGTAGAATCCGAAGTTATCTATTATCTTCTTTAGGTGTGTATTTTCTAGTTTTGACATGAAAATATCTGCAAGCAGCGGGCCGAGTGGTGAGCTCATAGCTATACCATCTTTTTGTTTATATATTTCATTATTGAAAGTGAATTGGACGTTTAGAGTACATCTTAATAGGAGTTCCTTCAAATAGTCAGTGGGTATACCAATGTTCATCTCCTTTGAATCAATATATTCACATATATAGTATATTGTTTCGGTTAGTGGGACGTTTGTAAACAGTGATACCACATCTAGTGAGAACATGGTTTGATTGGAAACGCTGACGTTTTCAATGGAATTGACAAAATCGAAGGAGTCTCGAAGTGAGTGGCGGGAGATTTGCTTTCTGACTGGTTCTAGTATGTTTACTAGCCATTGTGCGGTACTGCGATAAGGTGAATTAGTCATATCGAGAATGGGTCGAAGAGGTACGTTTTTCTTGAGCACTTTTGGTAGTCCATATAGCCGGGGTATATTTGAGCCCGACGGTTTCAACGATTCGAAGGTTTCAAGATCAATGAATGATTCAGTCTTTAGTTTTCGGAGAAGGTTCGTTAGTTTTTGTTCAGTTTGTTCCGTCATGTTCTTTTCCTTTTCTGGTTTTATGAATTTAGATTCGTCGGATAGGATGGTCAGCATTTTACTTACGTAGTCTTCTGACCATCCTATCCGACGAATCTAAATTCATAAAACCAGAAAAGGAAAAGAACATGACGGAACAAACTGAACAAAAACTAACGAACCTTCTCCGAAAACTAAAGACTGAATCATTCATTGATCTTGAAACCTTCGAATCGTTGAAACCGTCGGGCTCAAATATACCCCGGCTATATGGACTACCAAAAGTGCTCAAGAAAAACGTACCTCTTCGACCCATTCTCGATATGACTAATTCACCTTATCGCAGTACCGCACAATGGCTAGTAAACATACTAGAACCAGTCAGAAAGCAAATCTCCCGCCACTCACTTCGAGACTCCTTCGATTTTGTCAATTCCATTGAAAACGTCAGCGTTTCCAATCAAACCATGTTCTCACTAGATGTGGTATCACTGTTTACAAACGTCCCACTAACCGAAACAATATACTATATATGTGAATATATTGATTCAAAGGAGATGAACATTGGTATACCCACTGACTATTTGAAGGAACTCCTATTAAGATGTACTCTAAACGTCCAATTCACTTTCAATAATGAAATATATAAACAAAAAGATGGTATAGCTATGAGCTCACCACTCGGCCCGCTGCTTGCAGATATTTTCATGTCAAAACTAGAAAATACACACCTAAAGAAGATAATAGATAACTTCGGATTCTACAAGAGATACGTGGACGATACTTTTATTATCACCAATAATGAGGAAAATTTGGAGAACATATTGGACTTCTTCAACAGTTGCCATCCAGCAATCCAGTTCACACTAGAGAAGGAGTCCAACGCAACAATATCTTTTCTGGATGTGCAACTAGCAAGACGCGAACAAGATGGGACACTCGAAAGATCCATTCACAGAAAACCGACATGGAATGGACAACTCATCAGCTTTCACAGTTGGGTGCCTATATATACAAAACGAAATCTGATCCGCTCACTGACTCACAGAATCCACAACATTTGCAGTCCGGAAACTATAGAAGAAGAGCTGAAGACCCTGAAAAGAATCCTCCTTGAAAACGGTTACCCGGAACGTTTCATCACAAAAGCTATGAAGCCCAAAACACAAAAACCATCCACGCTTACTGATCCCAAGAAACTTCTCTATTTGAATCTACAATTCAACGGAGATTCTTCAGCAGAAATACTGAGAAACCGCCTGTGCCGTTCACTGAAGAAAATCTTCTTCGCAGAGGAACTCAGACTAACTTTCTCTACGAAACCAATGATTCGCACGAACGTGAAGGATAAGCTTCCACTGGGGGCCTCATCAATGTGCATCTACCAATTCACCTGCTCATGTGGAGCTAGATATGTCGGCCGTACCCAGCGTTTGCTATCCAAACGAATCAGCGAACACTTACCTTCATGGTTTTATAAAGGAGAAAGAAGATCCCCCCGCCACAGCTCTATCCTAGAACACTTGATCGAATCCGGACACCAAGCAAACCCACAAAACAACTTCTCAATTATCTACACAATACGTGGGAATCTTGCCAAAAGAGTACGAATTAAACTTCTTCAAACTGCAGAAGCAATGGCAATTCACATATTGAATCCTGAACTCTGCATACAAAAGAAGTTTGTTCAGTCACTAAATCTACAATGGTCCTGATCTATCTTAACACCAAATACGTAATTTTGTCTTACCTCTTTCTTCTTTGTTTGTCTATTTCTTAATTGCATTATTTTCTACCCCCACCCTCTATTAAGTCTCTACGCTCATGACGACTGTTGCTAACTCGTTTTTCGTTTATTTTTAAGTGAATTCTACTCAGCTTATTAACTTGACTCTCATTCATTTTCAAAAAAAAAAAAAAAAATTAGATTACGTCACCCAACCTACTTTTGTAACTTTATTTTAGTTTCTAACCGATTAACGCCTTCTAAATTACGTAATTTGTTTGTCAAAAATTGACAATTGCATTAACACATCTTTGGAAATATTCCTTTTGTTGCCAAGACAAATTACTACATATAGGTTGCTTTTGAGCCCTTCATGTGACATTTCCTGAGTGTTTCATGAATTTCAGAAGATAATTATTACTGTCTAATAATATTTTAGTGAGGTTCTGCATTTCTTCGCCAATGGTGTATTTGGTACTTGTACATATATGCGTTCAACACACCTGAACAGGCACTTATCTAATACCTTTTTATACTGCAGTGGACAGAAACTATGGCCATTTAGATAATGTCCCGTCCAGGTAAGCTATCTGTAGACAAATAGCCTTATTCACACATCCTACTAGAAATGTCAGTCAGTCGTTTTTTTTCTCCCACATGTGTCAAAAAAATACTACTTTGTACAGTATTCATATATATATTGATTATAGCTTGATTCCACACAGTACTTTTGGTACAAGTATGCAATTTTCAGCATGTGATATCGGTAGCCCAAATTTAGCAGGCCGACCATTGATATCAGGTGTGCGTCGGCAGGAGATCGAACCCCGGATCAAGTGCATGGTTGGTGAGAGTCCTAACCACTGTGCCACCGACGCACAGCACACCGGGCTAGGGATATCATTGGAGAAGCTCGTCATTAAAGTTTTTGAAATCCTCATCTAGTTATGCAAGTTCAAATCTCCAACAAGGCATACATTTTCCAGAGATAACAGCTAATAAACACGACACCTAGACAACTCTAATAGAAGTGAAACAAGGAAGAAAGTTATTTATGTACTGCTTGAAAATAATTTAAGTTGAAAAAAGTTACTACTAGAAAAGTGAATCTACTATCTTCTAAAAATTTTTCAAGTATTAGTTTTTGTAGGGATTTAGTGTGATTGGTTGAAGGATTTCATTGTGAGCTGACATGATCTGCCTGTGGTTGAAACGACTCTTCCTATATAAGTGGAGCATGCAATCCCTGTTAAATCTGTCCCGTTGATGGTGATTGGTGCTGTTTGTTGATTATCTTCTTCACCTCCGTCTTTTCTATGTTCACCTGGAGTCTTGTCTTCGCCTAGAAGTCTTTGAGTTTGTGTGACATTAAACATACGTCATCGGAGAAATCCAGATCTTCTAAAGTAAGTTATCTATAACTGGCTGTATAAGTTAAGTGTATAAAGTAACAATAAGAAGCAGGAAAGTGAAAATCTAGGAATTTATACTACAATGAAGTTATTACTTCACCTAAATGACTATTCAATAATATTATCTTTATCTATAGTTTGGTTTGTAAGGGTTAGTTATGCTTTCACGAGTTGATCATGGATTGATATCAGTTAGAGAACCATTGAAAACCAGCACCGGAGTACTGGACAGCTGCTGTTTCATCCCACTAGTTTGGGAATCACCGGAAGTATGCACCCACTGGGATTCGAACCCAGCACCTTCCGGTTACAAGGCCAGCGAACTCGCATACCATTCAGCCACTGGGACCCGGTTCAATGGCCAGTTCATGAATTCTAACTTCCACCAATTCATGATTTAGTGCGACCCCAACCATTGTCGTAGATGGGACATCTATCCACACACGTGATATCTAATTGGACCTCACCAGGTCCCAGTGGCTGAATGGTATACGAGCTTGCCTTGTAACCGGAAGGTCCTGAGTTTGAATCTCAGTGGATGTGTACCGCCGATGATTCCCAAACTAGGATGAAACAGCAGCTGTCCAGTACTCCCTGATTTTTAATGCTTCTCTAACTGATATCAATCCGTGATCAACTCGTAAAAATATCATCTTTCTCTTATCAGTATGAACCTAACAAATTGGTGATGGTCACTAGCGACTCACCTTATTCAGGTAGTTACTTGGAATTCTGCTGAGAAACCGTGACCAGTAGAGTGAGGTAGTAACTCATCAAAGAAGACACTGGGAAGTGGTTGCGTTATGTCATGAATCGGCAGAAGTTAGAATTCATGGGCTGGCCAGTGGATTGGGTCCCAGGGGCTTAATGGTCTGTAACCAGGAGATCCTGGGTTCGAACTCCGTTGTTGGGTGCGCACTGATGAAGAGTCTCAAATCAGGTCGAAACAGATTTCCAATACTCCCAGGTTTTCCAAAGACTCCCTAACTGATGTCATCTCATGATGAAATCCTCCAATCCATCTTCTAAACAGCTTGTATTTGTTCGTAGGCATAATTTCCGTTAATGTCAAACCATTTCTTCGGAATTTCAATCCAACCAAATGAAAGCAAACAATACCAATTGAATAATTGTCACACTAAATCATTAGTCATTAAAGTATAAATTCGTTTACTGATAAAATCGATTTACCCTATTGTTTAATAAAAAAGGATATCGTCACTAAACTGTTCACTTCTTAGTCAAAACCAATTAGAAGGAATTAAATAAAGTATAATTATATTTCAGTAGTTTACACACAATGATAAGTTTTGTTATTGGTAATATTTCGAGCAAAATTACTGCCCGTGTTCACACCACTGTTGGAATTGTTTTATTCGTTGGAATTTTGTTGTTAATTTTGTTTTCCTGTTGATTGACCCAACCAAAATATTCAGCTTCTAGTACGGACGATTCGACGACGTCTGAGGAGTAACACTGATACTATTCGGTGGATGGTAACTACCAGTGGAATCCAGGAAGTATACCTTGTCTAGTTTCAGACTACTCATCTGGATGCAACTTAGAATCGCAGGTACATTCAGATGAGGAGTCTCAAATAGGACGAAATGCCCATCATGGATTCCGCTTCTAGTCGCTATCCATCAAATAATATCATACTTGTATGTGTATTACAAATGTTAACATACACACTGATGTGCTATTTGCGTTAAACATGACATGGTCACGAAGAGACATCAGTGACGGAGTGTGCATTGATTTATTGAAGACCATTTAAACACTTCTTGGCTTCATTTTGTTTTATTTAAGAGACAGCAATGTGCCTGTGGTGTTCACGTTTTACTAACAAATGAATGTGAAATTTTCGACTTTCATTAGCTTAACATCTTTCTACATTTATGCTGTTTAGTGATGCATCAATTATCGGAGGAGTATTCACCACTCTTCTCCAGTAATTCTTGTTTAATACGCTTTTATTCATTGTTAACTTTGATGCACTAATTCAGTAGACACTGTTTAAACAATACAATCGGTATTACTTTAATCGTTAGTATTCTCTCGAAATGGTACAGGAAATTTGAGGTAAAGCAGATTACAACAATTCATAATTCGACTCAATCAGATAAAATTAGGAGCTTTGTATTCCTTCCCGCTGAAAATACCACTTTTCTGGCAATCGACAGGAAGCCTTGAACCTAGGTTTCGTGCTAGATGGTACTCGTCAGCAAGGTGTATCTGCAACCTTGAAGGAACTTATGTCTCTTTTGAGAGCTGTTGATAAAAATACTTAGCATTCGTTCACCCAGTTAACTGTAGGCCATGTGCTAAGACTGATAACAACACTCGTTAAATGGATAAGTAGTTCAAATTGATAATCTAATGGCTAATAGTGACCACTAACCGAAGTATGTATGTCAGTTCACCAGCTCCTTTGGAGTTAGGTGTATAGGTCGTTCAGTGGACGTCCTTTCAAAACGAGTTGGAGAAAACCACTTGGCGTGCTATAATCAAGCATCCTACTATCATTTATCACAAAATCTCAATTGATTCGGCATTCAGAGTCATTTACAAAATAAAAAGTACTCTACTCCCACACATTTTTCAGTGGGAAAAACGCGGAAAAGCTGGGGTTATGAGATCAAAAGAAACTCATTCAAATATGGAAATGGTTTGGCTTGCTTTTTGTTGGCTTTTATGGAATAATCTCCTTAAATGTTTTCATCTTCAATTACAAAACATTATTTCACTCCGTTTCCATGACTATCTCGACCATAACTCTTCTTCAAAAATAATTATTTCACGCTATAGGCGATCATGAAGATGGATTGAACATAAGTTGAAAAGACTACTGAGTGACACCACGTGCCAGACCCTAGACTGAAACATGAATGAGAAAAGATGAGTTGGGAGTCCTAGGTTGACTTGTAGGTAATCATGTGAGGGAGAAAATGAGAGCTTATGAGCAATTGTAGAGCTAACTAAAAGGGACTGTAGAGAACAAAGTAATCGACTGGTTTCAACGTAGACCTTTGCACAGATGTGCAGCAGTTCACGTTGTCACACTCCCTCAATGTGAGCATACAAAGCAAGGGATGAGAGTAAAGAGAGGTAATGAACAAAAATATGAGGCAAAACAGTAGTAATATAGAAGAACAACAGAGTTTTATTAGATATGATAAATCACAAAGAGTGAATGCATCTCCACTAGCCGTTGATAACGACTTTGAGCAATATCACGAATTGTTTCCAGCCATTGGTTTTTACCATCCCAAAGACCGTAACCAAGAAGTCTACACCTTACTACGCGGCTTAAACTAACTGTTGTAGATTTCATCGATTGATGCCATGTTTTGGTTTGACCACCACTAGCTCTCTTCCAGCTTGCCTGTTGTCGAGGAAGGCGATGGTTAGGCATGCGTAACACATGTCCTAACCATCTCAATCGATGTAACTTCCCAACCTCGTCGTCTGATTTCCACTCTTTACTTAATACTCGATGCCTAAACTCAATATTGTTCACCTTATTATACCACCTAACACACGGGAGGTAGAACGCAGGCAGCTATGATCAAAGACAGCCAGACAGGATTTCATATCTTCGACTTTCTGGTCTCTATATTTTTCTATGATTAATATTCATTTGCAAGTTTTCATATTATGCTGAAACATTATTATCTCCTTTCACTTTTAAGAAACACTTATTGTAACTATACTACTTCATTGAATGAAATAGTATCAAAAAAAGATTCAATTGTACTGGTAGTGAGAATTAAACTACCGACAATGAATACCTTTCCTAAACTTCTCATATTCACTTCATCAACGATAATGGTCATTCAACACACTCTAACACTCCAAACAAATCCCTATGGACCAACACTTGAATATCAATAAGATGCTCACTAGCGACTTGCCCCATTCAGATAGGTAGTTACCTGGGGTTCTAGTGAAAAGTCGTGACCAGTAGGGTGCAGCAGGTCGACGAAGACATTGGCTAAAGGTCGCGCTATGTCGTGAATTGGCAGAAGTTAGAATTCATGGGCCATTGGATCGGGTCCCGAAGGCTGAACGGTATACGAGCTCGCCTTGTAACCAGAAGGTCCTGCGTTCGAATCCCAGTGGGTTCGTACTGCTGAAGAGTCCCAAACTAGGAAGAAACAACCGTCCAGTACTCCCAGGTTTTCCAATGGTTCCCTAACTAATGTTAGCTCATGATGAAATCCTGTAACCAATCAAATCTCCACAAACCAACACTTCAATAGAAATTAAATTCCCTCATTTTCAACAGCTGTTTTTCCCCTTGAATAAATGACTATTTAGAGTTGTAGTAGTACTAGTAAATAAATAGTAAAAATGAAAAAAATATCTCACTTTATTGTATTAAATATGTGTATATCTATCTTTATACACACATAATATTGCGTAATTACAATAGGATAAATTTGCAAATTATCAGTTCAGGCCAACGCATAATTATCAAACTCAACTAATACCTTGTTTCAACCGCTCTTCAAATTTCTTTGCTTTGAATAATTCAAAATCTTTTTTCTTATCAAATAGGCTGATCTAATGAAAGAGAGAAAAAAAGAAGAGAACAGAGGCCGGGAAGGGTGGGGGTACGGGGAAGAAGGCAAACGAAACTGTGTTAATTAAATTTGTATACAAGGTGTTTCGGATTTTTTGAGTTTAGACAATTAATGAATGAATTCATACAATATATATGATGGAATCATAAGTCGCATAACTGTTTGCCCAGTGATAATGTATCCAGCGATATAGACAGAAATAGACAAAAAGGATAATTACACTAGAAATAAGGTAATATAGTAGTGAAGAAAATTTATCAAAAAACAAACAAACACTATAATAAGACGTTTCCACAAACAATTATCTCATTTCAAATTCCCTTGGGAAGTAAAACGCCTATATTCATATTTGGAATAAGGTAAGATACATCGTCAATTCCAGACTAAGTTTGACCACGGTATCATAACAGTTACAGAGAGAACCATTGAAAACCAGCTGGGAGTAGCAGACAGGGGGTTTCGTCCTACTTCAGGACTCATCGAGACTATGAACCCGAAATCTTAGGGTTACAAGTCAAAAATCACTCAGCCACTGAGAGCCAACTCACTCAGTGACTAGTCCATGAATTCTAACTTTTACCAATTCATGATTTTGGCGCAACCACCAGCCGCCAATGTCATTCGCGAGTATGTGTCCTCACTTCCAGCCTCGTTTTCAATCGCTCTCCAACACTAATATCAATCCGTGGTCAAACTTTAAACAAATCAAATCCCTACAGACTAACTTGAATATTCTTTTTTAGACTTCAATCTAAATCTAGAGTGAAGTTATGCTATCAACAAATAAGTGATTCCAACTAGAATTCTATTTAATCTAGTTTTGGGTATTGGTTTGTAGGGATTTGACTGATTGGTTATAGGATTTCATCATGAGCTGATATCAGTCTACGAGCTCGCCTTGTAACCAGAAGGTCCTGGGTTCGAACCCCGTTAGTGGGTGCGTACTGATGAAGAGTCCCAAACTAGGCTGACGAAACAGCTGTCCAGTACTCCCAGGTTTCTCAATAGTTCTCTAACTGATGTCAGCTCATGATGAAATCCTGTAATAAATCCAGTTTTGGTTATTCGAGGATGTTGAGAAAGTTATTGTACAACTGTGTATTTACAAGACAAATAGATTGGTCAAAGAATATTCTCTTCGATAACACCTGGCTCTACAGTCATATATACATAATGAAACGGTAGAAGACGCAAGACATGGTAAAGGAATGGCTAGCTGAGATTTGGTATCTCTACATAGCCAAGTTATGTGCACCTTATCATCAACGCACCATTTGCACAGATCTCCAGTGTTGTGCTACTTCTGGCCTTCTTTCATATTGTGTTTCATTGTGTTCTTTTCATGTCTCCGATAAATCTTCGTTGTATCATTTGCTTTCCCTGAAATTAAATGTGTTTCCCTGCTATTCGATGTGCTTATTGCCGATGAACATCTCTTTATATTATTATTATTATCCTTTAATTCCTAGAGGAACATAGGACTTCGGCTGCACGTCTCCATTGCCTTCTGTTTTCTGCCAACTTTTTTACTCCGCTCCAAGTCTGCCCACATGCTTTCATCTCCTCTTCACATGACCTCCTCCAAGTCACCCTTGCATTGACGACCAAGTCGCCACTTACCGTTCGGGTTCCACTCGAGCAATGACTTGTCTAGTGATGTCACTTGATGGTTTCCTCAGTGTATGGCCAATCCATCTCCATTTCTTCCTGCCTGTTTGTTGCACAATCGGTTCCTGCTGTGTTGGTTCGCTCATTGCCAGAGATCCCTGTCGCTGATCTTTCCTGGCCGGCCATCTGATCTTGAGTATTGAGCGAAGACAACTGTTAATGCAGGTCTGTAGTTTGTTTGAGATGCTCTTTATGACGCACCAAGTCTCTGATCCGTATAGCAAGTAGCACTGACTTCACATTGGAGTTGAAAACGGATCTTATTTTCATTTCCATGCTGATTGATGTTGACCTCTACACAGATTTGAGAGTAATGAAAGCTTGTCTTGCTTTCCCAATCCTGGCTTTGATATCCTCGTCAGTTCCGCCTGTAGTGGAAACGATGCTTTCCAGGCAGGTGAAGGGGGTTGTTCCTTTCAGGTCCCTCCCGTTTATGCTGATTGTTGTTGTTGCTATTGGCCAGGAATCTTCATCACCTCTGTTTTATCTATGTTCACCTGAAGTCCTATCTCCTCTAGATGCTTCTTCTTCCAACTTGTTGCTTTTCACTTGCATATCTTCCAGTTCGTGGGAAATCAGACATATATCATCGGCGAAGTCCAGATCCTCCAAGTCTTTTGTGTCAGTCCATTTTATGCCTGTTTCCTCATTGGCTGCCGTTGTCTGTTTTATTATCCAATCTACTGCAATCAGGAAGATCATTGGCGATAGTAGACAGCCTTGCCTTACTCCCGTCTTCACTTCGAAGGCTTCTGTAAGTTTCCCGTTGTGGATTACTTGGCATGCAGCATTGTCGTATAACTGTTGGATGAGATGTATAATTGTCGATGGCACCCCTTGGTTGTAGCGAAGTAGTTGACAAATCACCTGTCGATCGACGCTGTCGAAGGCCCTTTCAAAGTCGATGAAATTGAGTGAGGTGGAGAGGTGACTGCCATTCCAAGCTTTGTTCAATGATGATCCGTAGAGTGGTGATTTGATCAATACATGACTTGTTCCTCCTGAATCCAGCTTGTTCCGGCCTCTTTATATATTACTGATAAATCTTATCGGTAGCACTCACCACAATACAATACTTAAAGAGTAATTGTTATTCACAGCATTGATGTTTCTTATGCAAAAACAGTCTTTCTGAATACCTTAGCAGTAAATCCGAGTATGTTTGGCATTTATTCCGCTCTTCACAATGCTACATGATAGTTCAACAACAAATACACTCATTCTTCGAAATTTTTCCACAAACTTTCATAATTTTTCCCTTTTGCTTGTTTTTTTTTTACTTAACTTGTACATTGTTGTGTTATTTAATTCTCATTCAATTCACTTTTAATAATATACTGTTTCCAAAGGGGTAACAGTTTGAACCGAATGTATCACTATTTCGATCAGCCTAGCTGTTATTAATGATTTATCTCTGAGATGGAACACTTAAAGTAAACTGTGATCTATCTGGGAAACTCAAAAAGAATCAGTAAGGATGCATTTTGTTAATATACAATTGGAGGACGGAAAATTGAAGAAAAAAATATTTTCCAAAAAAAATGGTTATTGAACAAAGAATATTCTTTTCGATAGCGCCTTGATCAGCAGGTTCTACAGTTATGTATACATAACAGTCAATGAATTAGTGTAATTAACAACATTTACGTTGTTTAAATAACGTCAAATCAATAGTAATAAAAATATCAACGGATTACAGTTCACTAGCATCAACATAGCAATACACTGAATGGATATCAGAGAAATTAGGAGAAATAACAATATACAGTTCATGAATTTATGGTCTCCACTGAAGGCCGGCCAGGGCAGTAATAGTTTTGGTTGGACTTCCTTCTTCTGTACACAGTGCACCGGTTGTTTCAGGAGAATCGCAATAGCCTCTGCTGTTTGGAGTATGCGGTACCTCAATGCTTTTGGCAATTTATTTGACACCCGGTGGATGATAGAGAAGCAATTCCAGCTACTACTACTACTACTACTGGCCTGGCCAGCCTTCAATGGAGACTATAAATTCGTGGATTTGTATTATCATCATTTTTCCTAATTTCTCTGATCCCGACTTATAATATACAATAAAACTATATTGTTCTTCCATATTTCTATTCTTTTAGTTCTATATCTCTGTTTATTATCTCTGTTTTGAATCTCTTTTTTTCTTTCTTCGATGGCTTTGTGTGTTCAATGAAGTGAGGCAACTTGAACTGCTGCACATCGATGCAAAGTCCTACGTTGAAACCAGTCAGTTTCTCTGGTATTCAGTGTATGGTTATGCTGATGCTGTTGAACTTTAATCCTTTGGTATTATTAATTATGATTTGGTGTTATTTAAACAACATTGATGTTATTAATAACACTCATTCATTCACTATTATGTAAATACAATAATAATAATAATCTATTTTATTCCAAAAACAGTACTTATAATACAGAATGGAATTTTCACCGAAGTGACAGGGCAAAAGCGGATGCCCGGCGCTCTTCACCGGGTTGACTGTCCATTGGATGACAGTCTAGGGGAGATGGCTAATCCCTGATTCCAAACCTCCAACGACTGGCGTATGAAGCTCACCGGAGCTCACCGGCAGACGTATGGACAAAGGGCTTATTGGATGCCCTGGATGTCTGGCCCCATTCAAAAAGGCGTATGAACCGGACTCCGGTCACCGGCTGCCAATGGATAGTGGACTCCCTACTCCACTCCTAATGCCTTGTAGGTCACACTTGGTTGTGTAAAGGCTAGAGCTGCACTCTCAAACAAAGGGCCGAGTGATGCTGGTGACATCACTCGTACCTAATTCCCATGAAACTTCATGAACTCTCTTACAAACAACTGCATCAGATCGCCGCGCCTGGGCAGCGACGATTCGAGATGTTCATGAAGCCGGCTCATCCTCCCGTAGGAGATAGCCGAAGTAAAGTAAAGTAAGAATGGAATTCTCAGCATAGTAGAACCTGATGAAATGCAGGTTGTCGAATAGAGTATTCTTTGAAATAATAGAGAAGATTTGTAGCTCAGGTGGATGATTTGCAATTAGTCGTGTTCCCTGAGCTGGTTGGTTTGATTATGGAGCTTTCGTCATCCTTCTGGATAATATCTTCAGCGTAAGTTTTAGCACAAAATGAACTAATTTAAATTCTCCATGAATGATAGTATTGTGTCTCCTGGTAACCATCTTCTTGACTACTAGTCGATTTACACATCTGTATTGATCATTTTTTATTGACTTGGATTTTAAACTTTCTGGTCACATAATTTACTATTTATTAGTTTGTAGATTTGGTCTATATTAATATATCTGTTAATCGCTGATTCGCTTGAGTACCAGGCTTCTAAGAATTCTCTGGAACTTTTGATATTTCCTCAGGTTAAAGTTTCGACATCATCTCAATCAACTTGATGCCCATAAATATCTACATACATTGATATGAAAGAACATAAATCATGTCTTTTCACAGCTGATTTGTATTCTTCGATTCTGATTTAGAGGGAAGGCCCAATTTAGCCGATGTAATGTCTGTTACAGTTCATACAATTTATTTTGTGAATAGTATTAATTTTATCTTCTTTTTCTGTTTGATCTTACGGTTTGCACAATATCGAATGAAATGATTGTGCTGGCTGAGTGGCTTGTATGCTATATCTATTTTAAACGGTTTCAATATTCTAGCCATTATTTCAGAGATAATTTTTACATAGGGTAGGATGAATTGTCTTGCACTCTTTGATGATGGTTTCTTGTTGGTGTTGTGACTCGATTTTAAACACTTTTTGATGAAATTGTAAGGATATCCATTCTTTATGAAGACGGTTAGTAGGTATTTTTCTTCCATTCTCTTCAACACTGGAGTGCTACAGTGTGTTTGAACTCTTTTATTAAACAGTGTCTGCACACACAACTAATTGCAAACAGTATTCTCTGTTCAGTAACCATTCTTTTGAAAAATGGGCATTTTTAATCAGTTAGAAAATATTTTTTTCGCAAAACTTCCTCATCTAGCACTACGCTCATAGATATATAATATTTAAAGACTAATTAATTATGAGTGGGTCTCAGTGGCTTAATGATTTACGAGCTCGCCTTGTAACCAGAAGGTCCTGGGTTCAAACCCCAGTGACTGCATACTGCTGAGAAGTCCCAAAATTAGGCTGACGAAATAACTGTCCGGTATTCCAGTGTCTTCCAATGATCTTCTAACCAAGGTCAGTTCATGCCGAAATCCTGAAACCAATCAAATTCCTGCCAACTGACACTTGAATTTATATTTTTCATAAATTAGTCGAAAGTAGAAACCGCAAAAATATGTATTCAGAGATAGGCACATCATACTGAATAAATGATCTACTGTATTCTAAAGTTTGTAGAGATATATGAAACTAACACACAAAAAAGTATGTAAAAAAAAAGCAAATTAAACTAACCCATGTTTGTGGACAAGAAGCTTCATAAGCTTTTCTTTGACTACCACATCGTTGTTTTATCAGTTTTTCATCAGGTTGAGGATTTTCCGAGGATAGGCTAGTAACACACTCCCAATAAGCATCACGTGATTTCCAGCATTCTTCTCGTTTCGACTTGGATAAAAATTCAGTTGAAGTTGGCATGAAAACTACAAATTGAAATGTCAACAAAAAAGTTGACAGTATATCACACGGTAAATATTAATTAAAATAGAAGCCTTCAAGTAAAAAAAAAGTTACTAAATAAAGATAATCATGTTCCTATTCATGTTTCACACAATTATTCCCCCTCCCCTGATAAACATGAATAATGTAAATAAGAACAGCTTTTATAGGATAAGAAAGTATTCATCTTATTTCATATGGAGTTCGTTAGCTAATTACAACCTGAATTATAAGTAATTCATACGACATAGTCTAGACGAACTTTAATCGAATGATCAGATCACTTTATAAGAGCAGAATAAAATGTCAAAAAGAAAGAGACAATTTGAAAAGTATACAGGAATATTCTGGAACTTATGGGTTATTCAGACATAAGCGAATATGGAGTCACGTAGTAATATGAAGGGTCATTCAAGCAAAATACAACATGTTGGTGATAACCAATGCATTCAATAATTCCCACTGTAGAATTAGGAATACAGTATTTAGCGAAGCGACCCTTTTCAAGGAATTCAATATCACGATGTACAACTGCATATATATATATATATATATATATATATATATAATTCTTAAGAAACTATATCCTGTGAGGAGATATAGACAGATGTGAATATTCATAATATTGGTATGAATCAAAATTAAAGATTTTTGATTACAGTCATAGTTCAACATCGAGTGACAAAACAGGTTATTATTATAATTACTATTCCCTTGGTTTCTGAGTGGAACATAGAGCTTTAACAACACATCTCCACTTTGTTCTATCTTCTGCTGTCATCTTCAGCTAGGTCCACGATTGCCCATAGTCTTTCATCTCTTCCTCATACGATCTCCTCCATGTCACCCTAAGACTACCCAATCTTCACTTTCCATTCGGATACCACTTGAGCGATCACCTGGCGCGCGATGTCGTTCGACGGCCTCCTCAACATATGCCCGATCCATCTCTATTATCTTCTGAATATTTCTTGGGCAATCGGCTCTTGGTTGGTTCGTTCTCAGAATTTCTGGCCATTCGACCTACGATATGAGACTAGCTGTTGATAAAAGTCTTCAGTGGCCTGTTGTAAATGCTTTCTGTGACGCGCTAGACAAGCTTTTGACCCGTATATAAAAACTGACACACTTGACATTGGTGTTGAGTATCCGTATCTTGTTCTTTATGGTGAGGCGGATTGCAGAAGATTTCCAAATCGATTTCAGATTGATAAAGGTGTATCTTGCCTTTCCAATTCTAGCTCTGACATCTTCATGAGTTCCCCCTGAGGTTGAAACGATGCTTCCTAGATAAGTGAAGGAAGTAACCTTTTTCAAATTTTTCCCACTGACGATGATCGGTGCTGGTTGGTTAGGTAATACATAGAATAGTACACAGATTATATAGATCTTGGAAAGGGGTGTAAAACGAACAGGCTTAGTAGGCAAGTTGAGAATAAGATCAATTTTAACACTACAAAAAATATAAACTGAATTAAAATAATAAATAGGATAAATGTAATAATACCGGAAACTATTCAAAGTGGAAATAATACCAATCTCAATGATAATAGAAAGTTTGGAATGAATAAGACTCGGGAAGTTACTATGAATTCAACTGATGTGATCTTAAAAGCATTGTCAAGATTAGTGGAATGGTAACAGTCAGCGAGGTGTTCTAGAATAGAGATTCTCACACTTGATTGACTTCTGCCATTCAAATAACCTTGACAATGATTTTAAAATCATCAATTGAATTCATGCTAACTCTCCGAAATTTTTTTCCGTTCCAAACATTCCCTTAACATTACGATTGTTGTAATTATTTTTCTAAAGTTTGGTTTGTAAGGGTTAGTTATGTTTTTTCCGAGTTGATCACGGATTGATTGGCGTACTTCCGATGATTCCCAAACTAGTGGGATGAAACAGCAGCTGTCCAGTACTCCCTGGTTTTCAATGTTGTAATTATCATTACTTGCATTTTCAACGGTCTCCGATATTATTCCACTTGCCCGACTTATTCATTTCAATTCAGCATACTCTTTGCAATGTTAAAATCTATCTTATCACGTGACTATGCGATAGTTTTACTTCCCTACTAATCCTATTAGTTATAAGCTCCCTATCCGAGATCAATACGTTCCATGCAGTATTTTTCTTATATCACGCTGCCTGTTTCACCGCTTGATACTATTGAACTGTGATTATAATCTCAAATATTGCGTTGCAATTCACATTATTATAAGCATTTTCACAGAATATAGTGTCTTAAAGATTATATATATATATATATACGACTACACAGCGTGATAATAAATTCGCTGAATATCGTATTCTTAACAAACGTAATGGCGAAAATCCGTACGAAGTTATAAATCGTTAATTGTCTGTTCTGTGATTACATGTGATAAAATACCCACTCAAGTATTCCTCAATCATAATAATATTTGCCAGTCTGTCTAAAGCCTACTGAATCATTTCCTATGTAGACAAAAATGTCAGGCTAACGTGACCATGAATTATTAATTGCCCCCAAAAAAACAGGAAAATACTAAAACAAATAGAAATATAGGGGACTGGAGGAGAGGGGTGAGGAGGATATAAGCGATTGAGCACAGCAACAGAACTCGGGATAAAGTGTAAAAGCCGTTGAAGGTAAGAACACAAGATTGTCATGATAGTGAAAAGTCTGTGATAAGAAACAGACAAAGAAATTGATTTCAAGCTAATGAAAAATATGCTTATGCTTAAATAATATATGTAATAAAGGATTATATTTTCAAACAAAAACTGAGTCAATGTCAGTTAGGATTAAAGCCTCGATGAGTGTACACAAAAACTCATTGAAAATTGACTCAATTGAAGTATGGAAATATGGAGTTGTGCCTCTTTAATCTAGGCAGTTGAATTCTAACCAGTTGGTCACGCGTTTGAACCCCACCCCCACCCCATCTACCTACCAAGGTTTTGGTGTATTGGCGCAACACATTTCGGACATTCTGATCACACACGTACTTGTCATACACAGGTTTTATATAAGGCAAGAAGGCATGAATAATTACAATACAGATCAGATTGTGTACAGGTCAAGGTCACATATAATGGCTAGAGAGACGCCGAAGGTATGGGTAAGAAAGATAAAAAGAGAAGAAAAGAACAAGTCAAAGAAGGGGTTGAAAATATTATGAAGTAAATTGGACCTTGGTTCTAAGTTGGATTACCAAGGCAGGTTTAAGATGATAACAGATAACTTTTAGACACACAGAGCAGGTTTAAGTCTTTTTATGGCTAAAGCTTCAATGAATTTAAGTATGTGACCCAACCTTGTTTTATATATCGGCTTAAAGGCATTGTTGAAATCAACCTTATAACCCGTCTCTATAATATGCTTCGCTATAGATGATGTTGGACATCTATTTCATTTGTTGTTGCAGCCACTTTGGAATGTGTTCTGTAGCCCTAACCTGCAGAAACCAATGGGTCCTCCCTATGTACATGTCTCCACACATACATGTAAATTGATAAACACAGTGGGATGTGACACTATCGTTCGGATAATGTGACGGTTTTACAGAAAGTCCACATGGACGGGCAGTGTCTAAATTATCATAGTTTCTGTCCACTATAGTATGAAAAGGCGTTGGTTAAATGTTTGTTCAAGCGCATTCACCGCATATGTACTAACGATACAAATGAAGAAGAAAGACAACACCTCACTGAAATATTGTTAGATAACAATTACCCGTTACGTTATGGAAGTGTCAACCATAGAGCTTTATCAATCCAGTCAGCTCCAAAAAAGGATGTTTACATATCCTTGCCGTTCAGGGGTGATCATCAAAGTCTAGTTACTAGACAAAGACTCAAAGCTGCAATTAATAGAACCTATTATGCAGCTAAACTTATCTTCGTAGAGAAGACGAAAACTGTACTGTCCTGTAAACCGTCACATTATCTGAACGATAGTGTCACATCCCACTGTGTTTATCAATTTACATGTATGTGTGGAGACATGTGCATAGGGCGGACCCATCGGTTTCTGCATGTTAGGGCTACAGAACACATTCCAAAGTGGCTGCAACAACAAATGAAATAGATGTCCAACATCATCTATAGCGAAGCATATTATAGAGACGGGTTATAAGGTTGATTTCAACAATGCCTTTAAGCCGATATATTAAACAAGGTTGGGTCACATACTTAAATTCATTGAAGCCTTAGTCATAAAAAGACTAGCCATAAACCTGTTCTATGTGTCCAAAAGTTATCTGTTATCACCTTAAACCTGCCTTGGTAATCCAACTTAGAACCAAGGTCCAATTTACTTCATAATATTTTCAAACCCTTCTTTGACTTGTTCTTTTCTTCTCTTTTTATCTTTCTTACCCATACCTTCGGCGTCTCTCTAGCCATTATATGTGACCTTGACCTGTACACAATCTGATCTGTATTGTAATTATTCATGCCTTCTTGCCTTATATAAAAACTGTGTATGACAAGTCCGTGTGTGATCAGAATGTCCGAAATGTGTTGCGCCAATACATTATACGTTTCAGATAAACTACGTCTTCTTATTGTTTTATCATGACAAGATTTTAAAAAATCCAGACAGAAGAACAATTTAACTCAGATAATCATCAGTCCTGAGATAAAAGCACTGCCAAGAGTTGAATGTCATAGCTAAGATGGTAGAGTTAAGGGCTAATAATCCGCAGGCCACTAGTTCGAGTCCTACTGCGATCTTCATTTATCACATACTATATCAAAAAAGACCAATATTACAAAAATTACTCATTAAGTCACTTTACCCCATACGAATTACAAAAACGATGAACGTTTGAAGAACTGGATGGATAGAAATAAGTCAGATTTTGCTTTTCATATTCCCCACTGCTAAGAGCTAAAAGTAGCCGCCAGTTTCTCATGCCGAGCGATTTCCCCAACCTTTAATGATCTAAGATATAAAAACAGGTGACCATTCAGTGTTATATCTGAGAGTAGTAGCTTTGCTGGAAACTGCAAACTATTTGATTTGCAATGAGCGTTTAATTATCAACAGGCTCATCACAAGACTTGATAGCTTCTAGATTGATCATGTATCTAGCTCGTATCATACATAGAGGACTTTTTTATTCCTTTACGTTCCCAGTGGAACATAGGGCTTCAAGTTAGATCTTTCAAGTTTCGGTAACAGTGGTGTTTATTTTTACGGGATGGGATTGCTAGCCTCATGCCCAACCTTCCCTCTTCACAAGTTTTATTACTGGCTTTGCGAGGTAAAGGAGTGCGCTGTCTGGTAATCTAAACCTGAACCATATGCGTGGTTGACCAGCATTCTACCGCTGTGCCACAAACGCACTATCCTATAGGCTGCTAACTATTAACTATGGCAGGGAAGAAGATCTCATCTATGGCTAACTAGCGATAACCTATAGCTACCTAATACCACAAAGTTCAGGGTTTTCTACTATTAAGATTAGTACTCTACAAATATAATCTATATGAATCAGTCGGCATTATGGGACTGACTCAAAGATCAATCTAAGTCACAGCATTTTAAGACAAAAGTTAAAGAAAAGTAAAAGCGGGAATAATCACATAAGCATAAATGAAAATGTTTAGAACTCATAAGATAATGTCAATTGAATACATACATCTCAGCAAGAATCTCCAGCATTTAATTTTAAGCATTCTAATGATGACTACCCAGGACAGACTACTTATACTGTTTAGGCTCAGACCGAAAGTTATACTTCACAGACACTGATGTGGTGACTTTTATTTTCTAGCTAAATTTTAATCCAAACAAATTTTTTTTGTCAGGGAAAGACAATGAATAGCTTAACATGGGACCCAGGGCCACTTTGGTAGGTGAAGATTTACAATCTCATCAACTAATTTACCTGATATATACCTGTGGTAAGAGTTGGCTGTTAGTCAAAATTGGTGGACAGTAATTTACGTCAATGTTTATGTCCCAAATATTGGTCGTGAGAAAGATGAGAAGAAAGGCTTTGCGTAGGCGGATACAGTTAACATATAGATGATCTGATATTCAAGAAACAGTCACAAAGAGATGCAAGGTTAACTTTCTATGAGAAACAACCAATCATAAGAGTGTGTCTTTCTGCTAACAATAATCTATAATATGTACATGAAAATCAATCAATATGTCTCATACATTTATTCCCCTTAATGAATTTGAACAAAGCAAGAACTACTGTTTTAGCAGAATAAAATGGTACCATCTTTTATTTCGTTGCCTTCTCGTCAGCTGCTTACATGGCAAAGACATTATTAAATATATCTACAACAACAATTTTGACATACTTGCACAGAGTTCATTTGAAACAAAAATCAATCGACCAGTATACGCATACACTAAAAATATACATAAATAAATATGCAATATTAAACACTATTCTGAACAATAATAATCATACACAATGGAAACTTTTAGCATTTCGCATTCGGAAGAAAAAGAGAGGTGAAAATATTCAGGTGGACGTCGAAAAGTCGTTCAAAGTTATCAATAGGCAAAAGAGCTCAATTCTCCTCATGTTTGCTGAAGCCATTTCCATCAAGCGCCTGAAACTTGATTTATGCGTCCAGAAAGAAGCGGTTATCAGTCTTTCTTTGCCCTGGTAACTGGATATTTTCACCTCTTTTTCTTCCGAATGCAAAATGCTAAAAGTTTCCATTGTGTATGATTATTATTGTTCGGAATAGTGTTTAATATTGCATATTTGTTTATGTATATTTTTAGTGTATGCGTATACTGGTCGATTGATTTTTGTTTAAACTTAACTCTGTGCAAGTATGTCAAAACTGTTGTTGTAGATATATTTAATAATGTCTTTGCCATGTAAGCAGCTGACGAGAAGGCAACGAAATAAAAGATGGTACCATTTTATTCTGCTAAAATGGTAGTTCTTGGTATAAATGTGTTGATTTCCTTAATAAACGATCTGTTCTCTGGCCCTTGTCTTCTGTTGTTACATACCTATACTCATTATTTGCCATCATCTATAGGAAGCAGAGAAACACACAATAGTTTAGGGACTAGATAACAGTGAATTGCTTACTTTTTCTAATAATCAACCAGTGTAGACTAAAGACATTCACATGCACAACATTATCATGAAAATACAATATGCAAAAAGATAAACAAAAGATAACAATTTCCATGATAATAATTTTTTATTATTATTATTATTATAAATCTTTTTGTTATAACACAATTTGAAAGATTTCAGAAGACTCTACAACAGAAGAAGTAGATTCTATTTGTCCACAATAATTTCGATCGATAAAGTTAACACAAAAATGTTGCCTATCCTCAGCGTAGAGCACATTAATCACACTCTGAAAACAGAACAATAAAAAATGATTCGATTATTAACTGGCACACTTGGTCAAGTTAAACGATCATAGCAAAAACCACAGTGACCTTGGCACAACCAATCAGAATTCAGAGACGAAAAAAGTCGTATAATCATTGAAAAACATTGCAAACATGATATTTCACTACATAGTTGGCGATTACGTGTTGTAAGAATGTCTTCAAGTTACTACACAGATGATCAACACAGAAATCACACCATACACGATATACACATTCATCCAGGTGACTGTATTTCATGGTACTTTGAGATCCACCTACCTATAATCCTAACTTTAACCCTAAACCTTAACCTTATAAGCCATAACCCTACCTGCATAGGTAACCCTGCATAAAAAGTACTTAGTAAATAAGTATAATACCGTATCTATCCTCTCCAAGTCCAAAAAGGCAGGCATGGTTTGATTTGGAATGATATTTCATAACATTCCCTGTAAATGATTGGTCCTTGAAGGTCAACTTTTGAAGGACCTTGGCTTTGGTTATGATACTTTAACTTCGCCGCACACTTTACAAGCATGCAGCATGTATCAAAATATTTTGAACATAACAATTTAAGAAGAAAAAAGCAACAAACCGAACGTTACAAAAACAGCTTACTTTTTCACAATTTGTACAACATCTTCATCATGTAGAACATGTTCTTTGCCTACACGCTGAGGTTGATGTTTAACTGAAGAGCCCCATACAAATGCACTACGGAAAAATAAAGTATTAATCATTTGAGAACGAAAAAGGTATAAGTAGTCATACAATACACTTTATGAGCTTCATTGTATCACATTCTACAGACAGTGTTAATAATTACTCCAAAATGTAATCCAATAAGATAGAAATATTATTAAGTAAATATTCATAATTTTTACCTATTCTCAATGCATTCTAAACACTGTTTTCCTTAACTTTCAACACGATACTTGAATCCATTAGGCAACTGGTTGCTTTCTACCTTCCTGGACCACAATAACAGTCAAAGTACATTGCAGAAGTGTATTATAAAATCCTCAAGGAAGCAGTAGCACTTGAGATTATACAACCTTAGAGAATAAAATCACTGAAAAGATATCTTCGCTGAACTACAATTTTTTTTTCTTCTCTAATGTCCTATTGGCTAATTCCCAACACACATCAATACTAATATCAAAATGGTAGAAATCTAATGCCACATTTATTGCACATTTACTGTAGATCTAGTTAAGACTCCATTTAAATACTTTTTCGTAAATTCAATGGAAGGAAGCCATCGAATACTAATACACAACCTCTAATAAAGGAAGAAAGACCAAAGTTTAAGGGCAAAGTAACGCCACCCTATTTCACCAAATAGCAGTTTATTTGTTTTCAGATTCAGTCTGCACCAGGTATGTTGAATTTCGTCTTCATTGTTGTTGAGTCACGCTTTGTCTCTAGTAGACTCTTTCACAAAAGCATCACTTTCACGATGGAGCATGAACATGATGAAAAATTCCATTTTTTGGACGTAAAGTTGGAGAGAAAATACGACAGAATACTCAAAAGACCCGTATATCGTAAAGACACATGGAGTGGTCTTTACTTTAATTTCAACAGCTTCCGCCCAGTGAGATACAAACGAACGCTGGTGAAAACGCTTTTCTCTAGAGCGAAGAGAATACGTTCACCAAACAAACTAGACAGTGAATTAATGTTTCTTGAAAAATGCTTGAAAGAAAATGGATACCAACAAAGTTTCATTAACAAATATGGCAAGAATGAACTCAAGAAGCTTGATACAGCAACAGTCAGTAAGAAGCCTATTTTCATCAAACTTTACTACAAGGGCGACGACATTACGAGAATGGTAAATAAGAGATTAAGCGCAGCCCTGTCTAGGAAGTATCCTGCAGCGTTATTAGTCTCTCTATCCCGAACAACCTCTTCACTGGTGCAGCCAAAGATTGACAAGTACCCCTCAGATGTTACCTCCAACTGTGTATACTAATTCACATGTATTTGCGGGAGCAGTTACATTGGAAGAACAGAGAGGAGGGCCTACGTCAGATTATGCGAACATGTACCAAGGAACCTCCGCTTAAAGTGACCGAATTGTTTAAGCTCTTCAATCGCCAAACACCTGATTGACATAGGACACCGAGTAGATGTGTTGGAATCATTCAAAATAATTAACAGACAAAGTACCTCAAGTCTTCTCAGGTTTGCTGAAGCCATAGCACTAAAACAGTTGAAGCCTGACTTATGTGTCCAAAAAGAATCCGTTATATTGGACTGCAATCACTTCTTAGAAACTCTTTGTTTTCTAATTTTGTTAACTTATCATTTCACTCCTCCACCCCCCCCCCTTTATTTTTCGCTTGACTCCCTTAAGAGATAAAGTTTCTTGATATTCTGAGTTCTGCTAACTGTATTAAGTCATCAACTTCTCAACTGACCTCATGTGCACCGAAATTTTAAAATTTTGATCTTCTCTTATCTAATTACGTATCTATTACTAGTTGTCTTCTGTTATCACCGCAACAACACAGCTGTTAATCAATTTTTTCAAGAAACTTCTCTAATAAGATATATATACATATGTCATAACACTTTAGACACCCTGTAAATCGCAACGCCTTATTTTACTATGACGCTCTGACAATATGCTTGCTAATGGACAAAGGTTTGTTAAAATTGTACACTTTATTTTTATATTATTAAAAAAATTCAGGTTGTACGCAGCTGATGAGAACCAACAAAATAAAAATGGATCCAGATTATTTTGCGCCAATGTTTCTTCTTTCTTTGTTCAAATTTATAAAAAGGAATCACTGTATGAAAATCTTAGTAAATTTGCTGTCCTTTGTATGTTTATTATTTTGAGGAATTTGGCAATTTCGACGAAATGACCCGTATCTGCACCTTGGAGGCATCTGCTTTCATTTAAATTTATTGTGTTATGCTCAGAAAACCGGATAAAAGCCCTTCTTTTTGTCCTTCCTATGTACTTGCACTTAAATCTATAAACGCAGTTAGAGGTTACATCAGCAAGGTAATTATCTACTTTAGATTGCCTTATGAAGCATGTAGTGCTGTATAATGTTACGAGCTTAGCTCCAGAGAAGCATCTTTTTATTGCTCAAATCATTCTCTTTTCAATTCTTTGTGATACTGCTTCTCTTTTGAATGAGAGACAAATAGACACTTTCTTCTTTCAAACTTTCTTGTCTGTTTCTTTGCTATACTTTAGGATAAATTCTTTTGGATACCAGTTATTCCTTAGGCATCTCTCGAGAAGGCCTAATTCTTCTACGACTTTGTTGGGAAAACATAGCTTTCTGGCTCTGTTGTACAGTATCCTGATTAATCCACTCTTATAGCTGATAGGACTATAGCTTTTATAGTGAAGATATTGTTTGGCCCAAGTTCCTTTTTCATAGATGGGCTTTTCGACTGTACCTTTGTTTCTTCCCTTTACATGAAGGTCCAGGAAATTGAACCAATTGTTGTTAATATTCCATGGTGAATTTAATGTTTGGATGGATCTCATTGAGACGGTCAAATAATGCAGAAACGTGGTTCATATCGTTACAAACTTGTAAAGTTAGAAAATAAAAGCCGGGGACAGAGAACGCAGTAATGACTTCCACACGACCAAGTGCATTAATTCGGTAAATTTGGGCGAAAGAAATAAAAGTATATAGAAAGGCATCCAGATTAATATTCTCGCCTTTTTCCAGGATTTCTTCATGGTTATATTTTATATATATGGTGCTTTTTTTAGCTTTATAGGATTGCGTGAACGAAAGTGTTTGTTGCATTTGTTTCCTCACTAATTATTAAAAAAAATAAAATGTAGCGAAACTAACGACCAACGTCATGTGATTAGCTCAGCTTGTCTAAGACTCACGATTTTCTCACAAATGTTTTACAAAAACCCTCAAATGAATAACGAAATCTAATTTCACGCATCAATCGAAAGCACTTATTTTTTTTCTCAAGTTTCTATGCGAAAATTAATTTTTGCTAGAAGTTGATATCTGTGAAGCAGCCATTGAGAGGCAGGGAGAAAGGGGAAAATTGCTTCCTCCTAGCCTAATGACTCTTCAGACGTGCACATTCACAAGAAAATGAAACAATGAATCCAGCACCAAGAGGTTACGTGGTAAGCACGTTACCAACCCAATGATGGATCGCTATTTATAATTCATAATTCTTAACTTTACCCGATATGCGACAGTGTTACCTACAACCACTGCCATTGTCCTCTAACCTGACTTTTTCCACCAAATCATTATCTCTAAGCTGATGTTAGGTCTGTAGGAGATAATTATTTGGTGCCCCCTAATTTTCTCAATGATATCACCTGTTAACAAAATCTCCCTGAAAATCAATTGCATACTCACAAACCTTACACAAAAAAAGTTGTTTATTCGACACTCACGATAATAAATTCCTGGTTTAATTGCGACTACTTATAAGTAGGCTGATACGTAATGTGAAAAATATATTTATGAGAAATACTGGTATTATCAAACGAAGAAAAATCGAAGTGAACAGAAAACACTACGATATTTATGGCTGTCTGTTTAAAAAATATTGCCCTGATAAGCAGTTGAAAAGTTAGCTAGTCAACCTGTATGTGCTGAAAATCCTATCCTGTATGAAAATATTTTGGAATACAGTGATTACTGCTGCTGTTATTATTATTATCATCAGACAAGAAAGCAACCATTGGACTACAGAAAATTTTTTAGAACGATTAAATAAATTCTGACGTCTAGGTTAAAACTATAGCAAGATAAACTGTTGTTCCGAAGTTATTCTTCATTTCGTCCTTAAGATAACTACATTTTAAGACGTTGAGATTCTGTGACAGGTACTGACGAGATGTTCAGTTATTGCGCTTCTGACTGAACCAGTGCCTCCTCTTTGCAGCCATGCTGGGTGATGTTCTCTAACACGCTTTGATAAGACTCGCATAGAACAACCTATGTACCTAGCTCCGTAAGAGCAGGTGAACTGATATATGCACACTGAAGTGGTCATATGCGGAAGTCTGTCTTTCCTGTTGCTCCGAATTAGTGGGCGGCTAGAGAATATCAATCTTAGAGTTGCTGCCGGAAAAGTTTTCTTCAGGGAATTGGAGATTCTCCTTTTAAGGATATCTGCTGCTAGGTCTCCCCTGAATTCCAGATTCAAATGGACTGTCTTCTTTTGCACTGAAGCGTATTCTTCTCTTTTTGGCTTTGGTTTCATGTTCTTCTCCACAAAACGCGGTGGTTGCAAAGAGGAGGCACTGGTTCAATCAGAAGCGCAATAAGTGAACATCTCATCAATACCTGTCACAGAATCTCAACTGACTCATCATTTAAAGTCATTTACAAAGCGAACAAAAATCTACCAAAGGCAGTGTGTTCCCGACCTCTTTGTACTGCAGAAGCTCTCGCCATATGCATCGAAAAGCCGGAGCTATGTGTTCAAAAGAAACTAGTCCAGCCTCTACAACTACTATGGACCTAGGTCGGTATGTTCTCTTATCCTTCGATTTTGTTATCTCTGTGCGTAATTTTCTCTCTTTGCCTTCATTCAGTTCATCCTATTTTTTCAGTCTTAAAATCAGCTATTTTAGGTTTGTCTCCATGTTTCTTCTGATCACACTTGTAATCCGTCTAGAATAACCATTTTACAATTACATTCTAATCCCGTGTAACTTTTTGTTTCTATGCCTCTTGTAATATGTATTCACACCTCCTAGCCTACATTTCAAGTTGAAAATTTTGATTTCAATTTGTTTCCATGCTCATTTTGTTCACACCTGTGATTCGTTCTATCCCTGCGTCTCTAAGTCTCTTATAATTCATAAAAAGTTGAAAATAGTTATCACCTTTTATTCGCCTTTAAAATTATCTCTCCAGTTACCGAATATTAATTATGCATACGTTGTAACTGTTCTCTATTCCTATGCAAACTTGTCTCTAAGCCCCTTGTAATCTATATTCCTACCCTCAAACTTTCATATCAAGTTGAAAATTATTATCACCTTCGTTACTATGTGGAATTCAACAAATAATAATTATATCCATGTCTGCTTGTCTGTTTTCGACATAGAACTTTGCACAAATGTGCGGAAGTTCAAGTCGCCACACTCCGTGTAGCACGCGAAACAAGAGAAGAAAGTACAAGAAAAGCATAATAGAGACAATGAGCAGAGGTGTGAGACAAAGGAGGAGTAATAACGAAGAACAAAACAGTTTCATTGGAGATCATAAGTCACAAGGAGTGGATGCATCTGCGCCACTGAGAACGATTTTGAGCCATGTCACCAATTGTTTCCAACCATAGATTTTTACCGTCCCGAGGACACCAGCCTGGAAGTCTACACCTTCCTACGTGGTTTAGACCAACTGTTGTGGATTTCATTGACTGGTGCCAAGTTTTTGTTTGACCGCCGCTAGCTTTTTTCCAGCCTGACCCTATATCCGCTAACATTGCTCGGCGAGGAAGGCGATGACTTGACATACGTAACACATGTCCTAACCATCTCAGTCTTTGTAACTTCATAACTTCGTCGATTGATTTCACCTGTTTACCTAGAACTCGACGTCTAACCTCAATATTTCATTATAGACTGATGAATTCGTGGATTAAATATTCTTTTTTAGGTTTGTGTTAAAAAGTATAAACAAGCTGTCAAACGGTAGTGATCCTTAATCAATTTTAACAACTAAGTTAAAAAATAAAAAAAAACTCTAAAGAACCTTACACCTAAATATATACTAAAGAAATTACACTAAACTGCTACGCTGCATCACTTAAATAATGGAGTTGTACGGTAGCGCTTGAAGATATGCTGGCTGGGAGAACTGCATGAAATTACATAAGAACAGTGGAAACGGACACATTGTAACTTACTACTTGAATTCCTTAATCAAAGTTTTGTGCAACTTATTACAAAAATCTTCAACTGTATGCGATGCAGACCTCAAGATAACTGGTGCGCTATAATCCGGCAACTGGCCTTTAGGTTTTGTATAAATTCTTATTAAACTCAAATATTCCCATATAAGTTCAAGTAGATCATCGAAATTCCACTTGTGATGAGCTGAAATAGGTACACAATGCGGAATACGACAAATAATATCTAGCTCCTGACAAAAGATCGGATTAATAAACAATCAATTTCTTACCTCTATAGTAATTTGATCAATCTTATTTAGAACATATATACACGGTATATACACTCGACTCCCTTCAACAACATCGATTAAATCTTCAGCAGTTGCGTCACACCTTAGTAAGACGTCTGCATTGTGAATTTTGTATTCATTTAAGATTGTTTTTACTGTTTCCTTATCTAATTCAGACTGGGGAACCTATAAAATGTCAATTTCTGGAATATAAAAGCAACGAAACTTACCATAGCTTGGAAATTCAAACCTCCCTTATCTTTACGACGCAGGGTAATATTAGGAGGACTTTTGTTTAGTCGTATGCCAAATCCTTCTAACTCATGTTCTAGAAGCTTTTTGTGCTGCAAAGGTTTAAGGACATCTAAGACCATAAGAATGAGAGTGCAGGTTCGGGCAACTATACAATAAAATCATATTGGATTGGATTGATTAATCTAATTTACCAGCTATAACCTGCTTCCCTCGACCTTTACCATCTTTAGCGCCCTCTATAATCCCAGGTAAATCAAGTAACTGAATTTTAGCGCCTTTGTATCTTATGACGCCTGGGACAGTAGTTAGAGTCGTAAACTCATATGCCGCTACTTCGGAGTAGACACCAGCTAAGTTACACAAAAGTGTAGACTTCCCGACAGACGGAAAACCGACGAAGCCAATACGTGCATCGCCAGTTTTAGCAACGTCAAAACCTTCACCGCCTCCACCCGAACCACCTTTAGGCTCGATAAGTTCTCGTCTAAGTTTAGCCAGACGCGCTTTCAACAATCCCAAATGACCCATGGTGTTCTTGTTCTTTTGTGTCCTGGCCATCTAGAAATAATAATAAATAATTAGTAAATCAGTTTGTGAGGAAAGCTATTCAATATCGTACATTTTGAATCTATTACACATTTTGTAAATAAAAACAGGTTAAAAGATACAATGGCAATAGAATAGATTTACCAACTTCCTAGCATTTCACAATGTGCACTAAGTGATGGTAGCCATAAGAATTTGCGAACTCACAACACCGCAAAATTAAGCCAAGAATGCGAACTGTCAATGCGAAGTAAAAGAATGATAGTGAAAGTCAAGGTTCCACAAAAGTTAACCCTTAAGAACCAATGAAAGACGGGGAATGCTACGAAAAGTCATTCCAAATCAAATCATGCCTGACTTTTCGGACTCAGAAAGAGCTGATACAATATTCTACTTATTCTCTTGGTACTGTCACTCCAAATCTATACTATTAGGTAGGGTCATGGTTTTTAAGATTACAATTCAGAGTCTAGGGCTACGGTTAGAATTAGGGTTAAATTTGGGTTAGGAGTTAGGATTATGGTTAGAGTTGGGGTAAGTTAAAGAAAAGTGTCGGAAATATCAATGGATCTCAAAGTATCATGACCTACAGTCACCTGGGTGAATGCATCTATCGTGGATGGTACGATTTATCTATAGATCATGTGTAGTAACTGAGACATTCTTACAATACATAAGTGACACCTATATAGTGTACTATCATGTTTGCAGTGGTTTTCATTTTTTTTATTTTATTTTTGATTACAGCTTCATTCCACACTGTATTTTGGTACAAGTATGGAATTTTCAGCATGGATATCGGTAGACCAAATTTTGCAGGCGGACCATAGATATCAGGTGTGCGTCGGCAGGGAATCGAACCTCTGAACATGTACATGGTCGGTGAGAGTCCTAACCACTGTGTCACCGACGCAAAGTGGCAACGCATTTTTCAACGATTACTCAACTTCTGTATATCTGAATTCTGATTGGTTGTTCAAGGTCGCCAAGATTTTGGCTGAAATAGTTTAACTTTGCCATCTTCCGTGATACTCAGAAACAAATATAGACAGTTCCAAAGTAATTTACTAACGTGTGCTTCATTACAAATAACGAGACCAGAATAAGCATTCGTACAACTGGTTGTGATATGATCGTGTAGAACACAAAAAATATTTATTGCTTCTTTTACCTGTTAACTTCATTTTGCGTGCTACGGCATGAATCACAAATCTTATCAGTTTTTTATGACACATAGCCTTTGAAAATGACGTACAAATAGTATTCCAGACTGTGCAGGGGAACACAGCTAACTTTTTAAATTCAGTACAATCAATACGGCTTAGACATATGACAATGGTCACATTCTTAGTTACTTTTTTATCTGCTTAAAACACTGGGTTACAAAAATCAGTCCCACAAAAGGACATGACAAAATTTTGAAGATATGATAAGAACAGAGCGGATAAAAGGTAAAAGATAACGGAATGGTATATACCAAGTAAATATGCAGGAACACTCACTGGTTTTGTCTACCTTTGACCACAACGAAGTCAAGAAAACCTAAATACATAAGTAATTTTCAGACAACTAATAACTTCTTGAACTACTAACTCGCTCGATTTACTGGACACCACTACAGATCTTCATATATACACAAAGGCTAAATATACAAGAATCTTCGACTGCATAACTTTACACCCCACACAACTGTTTTATAAGCAGCTGATAAAAAAGAACAGATGTTCAAGCCATTAGAATACAAGTTTATTTTTTTATTACGGCCTGATTCCACACTGTATTTTCGGTACAAGTATGGAATTTTCAGCGTGGATATCGGTAACCCAAATTTTGCATACCGGCCATAGATACCAAGTGTGCGTCGGCAGGGGATCGAACCTCGGACCATATGCATGGTCGGTGAGAGTCCTAACCACTGTGCCACCGACGCACAGTGACGACATTACTCATCAGATTAACTAAACAAGTGCCACTGACATTAAAACTACTTACATAGTGTTATCGTCGGACGACAGTAACAGTTGAACAGATGTATTAGTGTGTTCAGTAGTTCGGACTCACAAATTTACATCATAATCGAATTGACTCGAGTATTATATTATCAGCATTGTGGAAGCGCCACACAGAATTCACTTTGACCAGAATTCGTGCTCATAAGTCCTCATCACCAAGTTAGCGACAACTCAGCTACCCTGCAACAGCCTGTGAGACACGCTTATAGTGTGACGATCGACAAATTTCACTTACTTGGGGTGGAGTACGTAATATTCAGATTGGGATATGAAACTCATAGGCTGAAAGTTGATTGAGAAGGCCAATTAACATCAGTAGCCCTAAGAGGTATTTCCCAAGTGAAACACTTGGAGCAGATTTAAGGGGTTTTTGGTAGGGTAACAGAGAAGTGCAAACGTCTGGAGAAAGTCTGAGTGAAAGGAAACATCCTACCTCTTCCAAACAAACTCCGAATCCCTAAATTACCCTGCAAAAAACGGCCGAAAAAAGGAGATTCCTTCGCGACTTTAACCACCACCAAAACGCCAAGGTGTAAAAATCCGTTGCGAATGTCTCTTTACAAGACTGCATAGCTTGTACGAATCGATAGCCAAGAGACTTATGTACTAGCTGCGAGGTGCTGAGTTCACACATGTACACTCCTGAATATTCCTGACACGTGTTAAATACTCGACTAAGTAATCAATGTCACAGCAAATCATGAAACTCAGACATTTTGCCACGAATACTGCAGTAAAAGATATGCATATAGAGTCATTTATTCACAAAGAACAATGTCCTCAATCGTGCCAACAAAAATATATCACTTAGTTAACATAACCTGTACAGATTACCAAGTACTTTAGGAACTATGTAGACTATTCATAGTCAGAATTTCATAGATAAATTGCAGAGAAACACCGGAATATGTTTACCTCCGCCTCTATTTCAGCAATTTTCTGCAAGATGCTCATTTTCACGCGGATCGACCTTCTGAATTAAATAACTCGCCAAGGTTACAAACTTCAGATTCAGATTTCAGAATTATTGGTTGAGGATAGAAGGCTTGCAGCCTATGTTAATCCTTTTCTAGTAGATTTCTGTGGTTGTCCAAACCCTTCTTGAACGAATCAGTTGAGGTTGCAGACACCACTTCTTCTGGGAGTCGGTTCCAAGAGTTTATGACTCGATGTGAGAACCAGTACTCAACAGCAATATGATTTCTCCTTGGTTTTTGAACTTTCCTGCTATGTCCTCTAAGGTGTTCTGACCTGGTGGGAAGGAAAAGAGAGAATAGGTCAGGTCCATGGTCATTATTTAAAATTTTAAACATTGTGATTAAATCTCCTCTCTGCCTACGATATGACAGTGAGAAGAGATTTAAACTGTCTAGTCTTTCCTCGTATGATAAGTTAGCTATGCCGTGAACCATACGTGTTGCCTTCCTTTGAACACTTTCTAGAATGTGTTAATCCCCTTTTAGACAAGGACTGGCGGTCTGGATGCAGTTTTCCAGTCTTGAACCAACCAGAGATGTATATAAGGAGGTGAACATATCTCTCGTAATTCTTGTAAAGGCTCTGCTAATCGCCCATAAGGACCTGAAACTACGTGCAGCCACCGCGTGACAGTGTGCTGTAGTTTTTAATTCGTGGCTAACTATGACACCTAAGTCCTAGTGAGTCTGAAATGATGGAAGTGTTATTCCCTCTAATTCGTAGAGGCTTGTGCTTGATTGTCCAATGCGCATGGTTGCACATTTTGCCACATTGATCGGAAGCATCCATTCAACAGACCACTCCGACAATTTGTTGAGGTCCTCTTGCAACGTGAACGTATCCCTGTTGCCCTTCAGCTCTCTCCAAATTTTTAAGTCATCTGCGTATAGGACCATAAGCGAACAGACGCGGTGGGCTTCCAATATGCAATATCCTGATTACGAGCTAGTATAAACCAGTGATTTCTTTGAGCTCGCTTCTTGATTGTGAGGTAGAGGTTCCAGATCTTCGGTGAACTTCTGCGTAGTTAGTCCCGCCACTCGACTGCTTTAGCTCTGGTAGACTCCAAGAGGAGTGGTGCGGGGATTGGTCAAGATGTGGTTTGTAGTATGCAGTATGTTAGGACTGTGTTGCTGCCATGAATGGAAATTGACCTAACTCCCGTTGGTCATTTGGTGTAGTCATAAAGGCAGAATAGTAATAATAATAGGTTGTAGTGTAGTTAAAATAAGTTGAGATAAGTGAAATAATAAAGGTGACCTAAGGGAAAGATAGAGTAGTCAGTACAGTGAGTGAAGGCAGAACAGGTCGTGGGGATTTAGTTTGTATGCTTATCCATTGACAGTGTGGTTTCAAGTTTTATGGGGATAAGCCATTGAGACACAAACCTTGCATTTCTGCATGATTGTCTAGCTTCCGCTTAAAAATCTCCAGAGAAGGCGTTGTAGTCACGGCCGCCGGCAAAGCGTTCCAGAGACGGCAAACACGAAGCGAAAAGAAATGTGATCGCACTCGAGTCTTTGGTCTCTGGTGTGCTATCCTTAGCGGGTTACCTCGTGGAAGCCTATCGTCACTTGATGGCAGGATGCTTTTATTTGGGTGGGCCTGGTCATTTAGGATCTTGTAGACGGTGATGAGGTCTCCCCTGTGCCTACGGCAACTGAGTGTGAAAAGACCTAATTTCTTTAGTCTTTCCTCATATGATTTGTTGCGGAGGCCGATCACCCATTTTGTCGCTCGTCTCTGGACACTTTCTAGAATGTTAGCATCCCTTTTGAGTAGCGGAGGTGCAATGATATTATGCACCTCAAGGTGTGGCCTCACATATGCCTTGTATAGCCTTAAGAACAGTTCGGGAGTGAGAGATCCCAGCTGCCTGTGCATAAAGTGTAATGTTGCGTAGGCTTTGGCGACGTCCCTCGAGTAATTTCCACTGGTGTCTAGCTTTTCTGTTAGAATAAGACCTAGATCGCGCTCTGATGGAACACAACTCAAGTTCTGGCCACCAAGGGTGTAATTTACACTCTGTGACCTCCCGGAATGAAGTTGCGCTACTTTTCACTTCTTTAGGTTGAAAGGCATTCCGTTAGCCAGAGCCTAGTCTCCTAGAGTTTGCAGGTCAGCCAGCAATCTTTCTGAGTCTTCCAATGAGTTTATTGCTCTCCAAATCTTTACGTCGTCAGCGTAAAGAAGCGCAGAGCAGTTTAGTTGGGAGGGCAGGTCGTTGATAAAAATCAAAAGCATCAACGGCCCTAAGATAGAATCCTGAGAAACCCCTGGTGCCGAGGTGTGCCGGGATGATGGGGTGCAGTTGACTTTGGTGCAGAATTCTCTCTCGCCTAAGTAATCTTTCAGCCATACGAGAAGTGCTCCAGAAACACCCGCCTTGCTTATTTTGTGAAGGAGCAGACCATGGTGAACTGTGTCGAATGCATTCGCAAAGTCGACAAAGATCACATGGACTAGCACCTTTTCGTCCCAGGATAGTGTCCAGTCGTTTCAAGCTAGTAGAAGATTCGTCACGCAGGATCTTCCCCTCCTGAAACCGTGCTGTGCTTCGTGGAGAAGGTTATTTCCGTCGAAGTATTTTCTCATGTGGTCGTCAATGAGACTATCCAATATCTTCGATATCACTGGAAGTAGAGCAACTGGTCTGTAACTGGTCGCATTCTGCCAGTCACCACCTTTGAAGATAGGGGATAGGATAGCTCGTTTCCATTCACATGGAAGTTTCCCTACATCAAAGGAGCATTGAAACAGATCACTTAGGGGTTGGCAGAGACTTTCTGAACACTGCTTCAGGACGGATGGTCTGATGTTATCACAACCTGCGTCAGCCACGTCTCATAAACCGTTAATGCCCAGCTCTTGCTACGCTCGGGCCCACGCTGTTCCTTGAAGTTTCAGAAACGCTTAGTAATAACGGACGAATAAACCAAAACACCGATTGGCCGCTTGAGAATTCTTTATTGTTACACCAACATATAAAAATAATAATTGAACTAAGGTCTGTGAACAAATGTTACAATAATAAATCATAATATTACTTCTGACGATGTTTTACTCTTCTTTCTGAACAGCGACCGATGAGACCATGACTGTCGTATTGATGCCTCCGCGAAAATTGGGGAAGTTGATTTTGAGCAAACAACCAAGAATTGATCGTTCAATCTTCAACTCCATTGACAACCTGAAAACTTTCCCGAAGTCAGCTTTCCCAATTTTACAAGTACTATAGCCGGGGGAATTTGAAATGTACCCAGCAGGTTTTCGCGCGTTGGTTTTGTATTGTAATCTTGATGTTTTGTGGGGCTAATATCTTCGTTACTATTTAGTCGCCTGTGAAAGGCTAGGCTGAATGTCTCTGCCATTTCAAGACTAGTAAGAGATTTCTCATCAGAACCCGCTAGATTGCATGCTCCCTGGTTGGTCGGTTTTCTTTCAGACATAAACCTGTATAGGCTTTTGGGGTTCACGAGAAGCTTATTGACGAGTTTTCCCTGAAATGTCCTTCTATCGCTCCGGACTCGTATGTTACATCGATTCCTGAGTTCAAGGTACACTTCATGTTCGGGTTGACTCTTCGATCGTCGCCACGCAAACCAGGCTTTTCGCTTCGCCTGCAGAGGGCGTTGTGTCCCTCTTTTTAGACATGAATGTTGCTTCCTAGCTTTTGGTGTGACTAAAGGAACAGTGTCTGAGACCGCGTGGTGAATGATCTCCTTTACCACTCGTCAGTGTTCTGCTGTTAGCTCTTTCCATTTTTAGGCCAATTTGCTCCAGACAGAAGTCTTCACATTTTGGTGTGATTGGCTTTGTTGTTGGCTTTGTAATTGGCTTATCCGTCACGGTGGTTGGAATTATGCTTGTTAAATTTATTTTATGAACGACTTTTGATAAAACTATGTTTTTTGTTTTCTGGATTAATAGGAATCCTCAGTTTCTGTTTAGCCGTGTTGGTGTCCGCGCCGTGTGATCTTACTGCGGCACACTCTTAGCATATCGATCAGTGTTTCAGGTGGATTGTTTCAGAACATCTACACAAATATTATACTTTATGTAGAAGCTGCACCTTTCGGCATATTATCGTTCAATAAATACTTCATGTCTCAGGATATCAATGCAGCCTATTTTTGAGCGAAGAATAGTACTGTTTGGCAAACGTATGCTATCAGTACATAGAAATCGCCTGTAAATGCTAACAAAACTTTCTTTGGGAACAGAGGTTATCGTGTACGTGTGTCTTTCATTGTATGTGTATTTGGACAGGAATTATAGTAATTTGAAAGGTTATCTGTATGTGTATTTAATACGTAACTGCACTGCTTGATACAGTGTAATATGGGTTATGTGCATTCGATGTATAAAAATTATCACAACTTTAATAATGCTGCACCACTGTCTGCTTAGCTGACTATTAGGCTAACAAATAAACAAATGATCGTTGCAATTGCAGCGCAGTGGAGCAGGCAACTACTCGTTAAATTTTCATCACTGTTTCAAACAGTGCATCAATTCAGTGTATAGTATTATTATACACATGGATTGTGCTGATTGTGAGAACTGGATCTAGTCACCTCTATTATCTATCTAGCTCTATTACCAATCCACTGTCTGTTACGCCATTCCCACTGGCACTCTATATTTCATGCAGCAATATTTTTGATCACCAATAATGGAGATGAATTCCTCCTGAGGTTTCCATTTACATTAGGCAGTACAGATGCAGTATCACGACTGAATGTCTAGGTTGCATTATATGACAATGTTATCCTCATCAACACAACAACCCCGCGTACTTTCGAATATTTGAAGTATTTCTCTGTGCTGTTAACACAGTGCATAACTGTTTACAGTTGAGACCTATGTACCTTGCATATTACAGCCATAGTTTACTAAAGCTGTGTATGTTATTTCTGTACGGTTCGCGAAACCATCCTCACTAGGCACTACTGAAACTGTGGATTAATTTCTAAGTTATGAAAGATCAACACTTCGTTTAAAGTTAACTTGATTAGCGTGAAGTTGACCTGCAAGTAATCTTGATGAGAGAATGTCTTAAAAGTATGGATATTTCAAGGT